ATGGCAGCATATCAAGTTATTTTATAAACCTTTCCCTTTTCTCTCTGCTGCCATGTCTCCTCTCCTTACTCCATCATCTCCCCTGGTGCCTGCTGCCCCCAACTCCTCACCCTCCTCTGCTGTCCTGACTCCTGCCCTTCTCACTGCCCTCAGCTCTCCTCTCGGACTCCTGCCCTTCTCACTGCCCTCAGCCCTCCTGAGACCTGCCCCCCTCTACCAGCCCTTCATCCCACCCCGTGCCCACTCCTCTAGTAGCCCCACTCTGATCATGTGAGCTACCCCTCTTCTAACACCTCCCTCTACACACCTGCCCTGCCTCTCTCCTCTGGTGCTGGTCCCTCCCCTGCAGGTGTCTGCCCTTCTGCTTCACCCCCAGAATCTCCTGGCACCTGCACCTTCCCTTAGCACTGCATCTTCTTCATGCCTCCCCCTTCCCCCTCTGCCCCTGCCTCCTTTTTCCCTGATGCCCATCCCCTCACCACTTTCTGCCTCCATTCTCCTCATGCCCTCACACATGCCTTGCTCCATTTCCACCTTTCACATGCCCACCCCTTCTTTCAAGCCTTCTCCCAGTACCTTCCCCTCCCCCCTCCAGCTCCCAATGCCCTTCCCCTCCCCTCTCCTCTCCCAGCATCACTCTGTGCTCCCTCTCACTGACACCTACCCTTTCCCTCATTGTCTGCACTTGACTCCCTGGCATTTGTCTCTCCTCCAGCCTGTCTCTTGGTACCTTCCCCTTTCTTCCCCCCCCCTCTCCCACACCTCCTCCTAGTTTTCCCCCTCCCCTACCTTCTGCAGGGCCGGACTCCAAACCGCGTGTGCCACCGCCACCTTTTCAGTTTCAAAACCCCAGGCGTGATGTGATGTCATGCCCGGGCGTCTCCCCGCTCACCTACATGGCAGCAACACCAGCTGGCAGCGTGCGTAGGTAAGTGTGGGAAGCCCAACTGGCTGAGCCGAGGGAGCTGACTTCCGGGTGCAGAGCACTGGGCCCCCTTAAGCACGGGGCCAGATTCGGCTCAATCGCCTTAAGGCCAGCCCTGACACTGCCCAGGGCTGCGGGGCCCCCTTAAGCACGGGGCCCGATTCGGCTGAATCGCCTTAAGGCCAGCCCTGACACTGCCCAGGGCTTGGCTTCTTGAAGCACTTGGGTGTAAACAGGTAAAGTTTTCTATACAGAAGGTTCTGATGACATTACGTATCACTGTGGGCAGTGCATGACGAACTCCCAGATTAAAAATACTTCACACTAAAAATATACTGAACATAACTGAATCTTCCTTTGAGGATTCAGAAAGCACTCCAGAATCTTGCAGTGCTTCAGGGTCATCGTTATCAGCACCAATTACGATTGTAGATGAAGGTGGTGTAGGAGATAGGGTCACTACAGATTCAGCCCAAAGTTTGGAAGATTTGTTTTGACTAACCCTTGATTTCAAATTACTTATATTCTGCATAAAAGTCAAGTGCAGAATATGCAATTGCATAATGTGAGACTATTTGAATGTCTGAACCCCCACTATGGCCAAAGGTCCATCTAGCCCAGGATCCTGTCTTCCTAAGTGGCCAATGCCAGATGCTACAGCGGGAGTGAACAGGACAGGTCATCAAGTGATCCCTCTCTTGTCATCCGTTTCCAGCCTCTGACAAACAGACTAGGGACACCATTCCTACCCATCCTGGCTAATAGCCATTGATGGACCTAACCTCCAGGAATTTATCTAGTTTTTGAACCTGTTAAAATCCTGGTCTTCACAACAGCCTCTGGCCAGGAGTTCCATAGGTTTACTGATCTGTGTGTGGTTTTTTTTTTTTTTTTAAGAGAACTATCCTCAGTGACTCCAAGATTGCTCAAGTGGTTATAGCTAAATTGCTCCTCATACTGCTGGTTACTAGATTGATGATTTGGTTTGGGAGAAAGCAGAAATGCTGGTTAATTTAGCTTTCTGATTAACTGACTACTCAATACCAGAGCTTTTATGTAATTAGCAGAGTCTTTGCTTAGCTCAGGACTGCAGCTTTTACTTGGAAAATTGTTTATGATTCCTGGTCAGTTCAATAAGTGACATGCCACTAAATTATGAACAAAGGGGTCACAAACTCTATAACTAATGATGAAACTATTTCTGTTGAAAATCCAGTTTTGACCCACCTTCTGATTTTCAAAGGAAGCTTTCCAGTGTGCCTGATGAGTCAAATGCTTCATCTCCTCCCAAGAGAAGAAGGGTTTTTTTGGTGGGTTGGTTGCTTTTTGAAGTGATGGAAGGGAAGAATAAAGTAGCTGTTTAAGTAGAGAAGAGGGCTAAGTTAGGACACATGGTAATGTTGCTGTTTTTTCCATTTCCGGAGACATGATCACTTTTTGGTCCCACCGTAATTCAAAGCCTACTTACTATACAGAGTTCACACTGTTCCTTCTCACGGATAGCTCCCACTCAAACCCTATTTGGCAAGGCTTACCATCTAAACTGAAAAGTTATAATTGCTGATTTCTTAGTATTGGGTATACCACATTTCTTAGTGAGGTTTTAACTAGAGCTGAGTGGAAAACAGATTCCTACTGAATCTGGAGTAGCTAGACCCAGCCCCAGGTCTGGCAAATTCAGTTAATCATGAATAGGAACAGGACCTGGTTCCTACTGACTTCCCCCCATGAATTCTTTGGGGGTTGTAAGCAAGGAGATCTGGTTTCACCCAACAGTACTCTCCGTTGCAAGGCAAGCAGTGACCAGATCGCCTTCCTGGATCTATGGTGAATTAAGAGGTGGGCAATGGAACGGCACTGTCCTAAGAGGCCTCTCCGCTTCACTCAGATCCTGTGGTTTACTGCCCTGGATGTACTCAAAAAGAGGACCACATAGGTGTCAAAGTTCAGTGGCGCTTAGGGCTGAGCTAATTAGCTGCTTTGAGAGCTGTACTAACAAACAGATTTGAAAACAGGCCTGCCTTGTTTGCTTAGGGCTGAGCTAATTAGCTGCTTAGTACAGCTCTCAAACAAACAGATTTGAAAACAGGCCTGCCTTGTTGCAGTGTATAGGGACTACAACTTTCAGAACATTTCTTACCTCTCTCTCCCCACCTCAGAAACACAACTGTTTGACAAAGAGCAAGACTTGTACCTCCCTGACTTGAAAGCTGTTACAATGGCTCTATGAATGGCCCCTTTCTTGCCTCCTGTGCTGAGCATACCTGGGTGCCCATACTGGCAGAACAGTTGCAAATGTTACTGACTATGCCAGCACCCTTCTTTAAGGGTACTCTCAAAAGTTACAAGCTTTAATACCCATTGTCTGTCACATGGCATGAAAGCATCTAGACCCACTGCCCCATATCTCTTGAAAAATCACCACCATTTTCTAGACATAAATGATCTGATTTTTTTTATTCTTGCTATTGCACATAAGCCTATTTTAATGACACCCAGTCCCGATCTCATACTGGTGCAAATTTAAATCCTGGACATATTCTGATGTGCTTGTTATGAGATACTGTCATTTTCTCCTACTAGTAAGTTAACATATTAAATGGACTTAAGCTTGTGATAAACATCGTAGGCCCAATTTCTTCACCCTGCATTTTATGCAGATAGCTATACCAGTACAGAATGTAAGTAGGACTCCACTAAAACAGAATGGAAGTATTTTATTTACACAGAGTCACTGTTGCCTTGCTCCAGATCATACTCCAAAACAGGGATACATATGCTTACGTAGAAGTGATGCAAGGTGCTCAGGAATCTGCTCTTTCCATATTTCCAGCCCCACCTTCAACTAATTACACTGAAATACTCTCAAACTAGGCAGGCAACACTCAGTGATAAGCAAACCTATCAAGTGTTCTTTAGAAAAGTTTGTTGGTCCACTCTGTTCCTAAACAATATCCTCAGTGGGTTGATAATACTTCTATTGTTTAACTTGCATCCCTTGAAGTGTGGTAAAGGACTTGTAAGAGAGCAGTCGAGATGTCATCCTCAGGTACATTTCTGAAACCACCTGCTATGCAGCTATTAGATGCAACTTGGGGCACTGCAAAGACAAAATACTTGCTCTACAAACACGTTGAAATCCTAAGGATAAGTCACCCATGACAAGACTGATTTAGCAGATTGCAGAGAGAGACTTAGCTCCATCCAGCTGGAGAAATCAACCAAACTTTCCTTTAAATTTGGTGGTAGAACTTTAAACAAGTTGCTCCTAGGAGTCCTGTCCACAAATACTCACTAGCACATCACTGTGATACCTTGGCATCTTTGACTGTTCATAATGCACTTTATTTTTCCTTTGTACAAAAACAAATATAAAATTTAAATCCAATACAAAGTGTATACTAACAACAAGTTTACATTACAGTAAAATAAGATGTCAATGCAAATGTATCAAGACATTAGTTCTTTAAAACTTTAGCTCAGTGGTACATGCATTATATAAAATAAACTACTAGAGCTTTTCATCTAGTTCTACAAAAGATACCCAATCATCAAGCCATTCAAGGGCAAAAGTAGTATTGAAGGGACATTTACAAAACCAAACACATTTTTTCCACAGAAAAATCAATGCTGACAGGAATGATTTGTTTAGTCATGCTCTTGTTTAAACCCTTTTAAGCTATACATAAAATTCTTAGAACAGACAGAAAAAGCTCAGTAAGTTTGTTAGCATAGGCAACCATTCAGTAGTTCAAAGAAATTTTTAGACATTTTGAAAAGGTATCGTAGTTTTCAGTTTGTATTCTCACAAAAACAGAACTACATTGACTCCCCTTTTTCAAAATCTAGTCATAACTGGCTAAAAACTAGTTTGAGTGAAGTCAAAGAGTAGTGTACAAAAATATTTAACGGAACTAGCAAGGATGTATCAAATGAGTCTCTGCTTTGTAAGGAAAACCTTCTCCATACTCAAGGTTTGTTTATTTGTCCCATAAACAAGACTGCACCTGAGGGATAAAATGAATACCAATATTACTACATGTATACAGTTTAAGTATTGTAGAGCATTCACTGAAAAACACTTAACATTTACAGAATGAGGTCAAATAAATCTGTGTAAAAAGGCTCGAGCTTGCTCCATGAGCCTGCTTTGCTTTTGTTTGGTTCAATCAGAAAGGACCATCATGATAATCTAGTCCAAGGGTACTCAACACGCAGCCCATTTTCTTGTGTCCCATGGTACAGTTTGGATTTACATGGGGTTCAACACATGGGTGGAAGCCAAAACAAAAAAAAATCAATATAATGGTCTTCTGTTGATATGCGTTTTAGTAGTTAGATTCCTGGACTGTCATTGCTCATTAAAAGTGCTGTCATATGGGTAGAAATTAGGTAAATATTGCATTTTATTAATATCAGCAGAACTGACTTAAATGGGGCCTGTGTTTTGTGTAATCTTGCCTTAATCATTGTATTTATGCCAGTCAATGTGAAAGAATCTATTTGCATATTTATGCAACTACACTTCAGTCACGGTCCTCAGCATGTGCTCTGAGTATCATTGTGGCCCACGGGGCTTCCAAAATTGAGAAGCCCTGATCTAATCTGATCTCCTATGCAGTAGGCTTTCCAGTTCTGGTTTATTTTAAGCAGAGTTAAGAGTACAATGCAGCATATTTTGTATTTGTTTCTGCAACACCTACTGGACAGCTTCAAGCTTTCTCACCTATAAATTAGTTTGCATCTAGCCATTATATTGTATGCCCTCATTTTGCATGCAAAGTAACATAACATTGCTTACCTGTAGGATTGTGCCGAATGAAAAATACAAATGGTCTATCTACTATAAACCAAGGAGGGGAGGACCTGGCTATTAAAATTGCAGCTTCCAAAGAAAGTGAAAGAAGAGAAAACGAAGAGAAGAGAGAATGGAAAATTAAGTTAAACATTATCACAATATAGAATCCATATGATTTGTATTAAATATTTGCTTGCACCTACACTACCATGCATCAGCTAACTGTTCTATATCACCAGTGACAGCGTGGGTCAGCCATATGTGGTCACCATATCCAATGCTATGTATTACAAATAAGTCTTCTTATATTGCTCAGTAGAACCACACACTCCATTAAAAACCTGGAAAAACTAATAAAATTAAAACCCAAGATTGTTCCCCTACAGGAAAACCCAGCTGTCCTCTTACAGCAAAATGCAGGACAATGTAGCACTTTAAAGACTAACAAGATGGTTTATTAGATGATGAGCTTTCGTGGGCCAGACCCACTTCCTCAGATAAAAAAAAAAACCAAAACACTCTTACAGCAGTGTTTCTTAAACTTTTTAAGACTGAGGAATACCAAACAATTTTTTTTAAATGGGGGAACATCAAGAATTTTTTTGTCAAAACCGCCCCCCCCCAACCCCGCAAAAAACGAACACCGAACCTGGGAGTCGAAATGCACTATGACCCCACCCAAGAAGACTGCCTTAACAACAGTCTGAAAACGTAGACCACAAAAAAAGTAAGGATAATAATAAACAAATGCTAAATAAGGTCATGTGTCTGGCTAGGAGGGAGAGCAGAGAAGCGTCTCGGGTCAGGTTGTCTGGCCAGGAGGAAGGGTGCCGGAGGGGACTTGGGGCAGGATGTCAGAGCAAGCTGGGAATGCGGGGTCTTGGCAGGGGGAGGGGAGTGAGGGAGGTTTGGGTGCAGGTGTGTGGAGAGCTCAGTCCCCCCTCCCCACCACCCATGCAGCAGGGAACCCAGCACAGGTGCAGCACCAGGTCAGGCTTCCCGCTGGCAGGGCAGACGAGGGGGAGGGTGTAGAAACCCCGACCTTCCCCGCCAGATCAAACTCTGCCACTTCCCCAGCAGGCTGGGCAGGGGTGCAAAGAGAGAGAGAGCAGCAGCACATGGGGGCAGCGAGCCTGAGCGCACCTCAAGGGGGGAGCAGCAGAGTCCAAGCTGGGTTCCATGCAGGCGGTAAAAAACATGCCGAGGTCTGAAAGTGGCTGCTTTGTGCCGCCAGATTAAACTCTGCCATTTTCCCAGCAGGCTGGGGAGGGGCACAGGGGAGAGAGCACAGCAGTGCATGGGAGGCAGCAGAGCCCAAGCGTGCCCCGAGGGGGTGGCAGCAGAGTTTGAGTACGCCACAGGCAGGGGAGGGGACAGCAGAGCCCAAGTGCACCCCAGGTGATGGGGGGCGGCAGAGCCTGAGCCAAGTTCCCCCTAGGAAATAGTTTTAAAATGCTGAGGTCTGGGAGAGGCTCCTTCTCACAGCAGCAATGGCCACTATAAAAGCTGCCACCTGCACACGTGGAGAAGAAGGGGGAGGCTGCGTAGCACCGGAGGCCCCATGGGACAGGAGCCATCCTGTGGGCTGGGGGAGGGGGGACGACACAGCCACAGCGGGAGCTATCTATGGGCTCGGCAGGGGAGCAGAATTTTTCCTGTTCTCTCCGCAGCACAACTCTTGACTACCTCGAGGCTTTAAGAAACTCTATCTTAGAGGCATGTTGTATAAATCTGTGCCAGTGGAACAGCACAAAGAGGCATGCTAGAAGTCAAGTTTTACTACACCTGTATTGGCCTGAAATTAAAACTTCTTTTAAAAAATAAATCTTAAGTGCTAGAAAACCAATGGTAAATTTCACTTGATTTTGTATTCTTTTCTGAGTAAGTGCTTTTCAATTGGTATGATCTCAAAAGGTTTCTTATTTCAAATAAAATTCAATATTTTTGTGTTACTAGTAATTAAGGATTAAATTAAAAACACAGAAAAAACAGCTTACTTGTTGCTGCAGAAGCTTTGGTTCCATCTTCACTAACTTCAATTTTTGCTTTTTGCAAAATATGAGATACATGAAGGCTTTCCGTTCCTGTGTGGCCAAAACAAGAATAGCTGTTGTATTAACATGCAACTATGCATTACTTATACTGTACATAAAACTCTCCAGAGCAGAAAGTTTTTGTAGATGGCAGACCAACAGTGTAGCAGAGCACGAGAAGGCTGCTGCAATTCTTGCAAAGACTGAAATCACGCTGGAGTAGGGTGACCATATTTTCCTATGCTGAATACAGAACCTCTGATAAAATTACACTTAGTCAAAAGTGGCGAGGAGTCCTGTGGCACCTTAGGCTACGTCTAGACTACATGCCTCTGTCGCCAGAGGCATGTAGATGAGGCTACCAGGCATAGGAAAATGAAGCGGCGATTTAAATAATCGCCGCTTCATTTAAATTTACATGGCTGCTGCGCTGAGCCGATCAGCTGTTTGGCTGCTCAGCGTGGTAGTCTGGACGCGCGGGTGTTGACCTCAAAGGCATTTGTCGACCACCCAGGTATGCCTCCTGGGATGACAAACAGCTGATTGGCTCAGCGCGGCAGCCATGTAAATTTAAATGAAGCGGCGATTATTTAAATCGCCGCTTCATTTTCCTATGCCTGGTAGCCTCATCTACATGCCTCTGGCGACAGAGGCATGTAGTCTAGATGTAGCCTTATAGACTAACCAAAGTGTTGGAGCATAAGCTTTCGTGAGCAAAGATCCACTTCGTCAGATGCATGTAGTGGAAATTTTCAGAGGCAGGGATAAATATGCAGGCCAGGATCAGGCTAGAGATGACAAGGTGGATCCAATCAGGGAGGGTTAGGCCCACTTCTAGTAGCTGATCTGGAGGTATGACTAGCAAAAGAGGAGAAGCTGCTTTTTAGTTAGCTAGCCATTCACAGTCTTTGTTTAATCCTGAATTGATTGTGTCAAACTTGAAGATGAACTGTAGCTCAGCAGTTTCTCTTTGAAGTCTGGTCCTGAAGTTTTTTTGCTAAAGGATGGCTACCTTTAGATCTGCAATTGTGTGTCCAGGGAGATTGAAGTGTTCCCCTACAGGTTTTTGTTTATTGCCATTCCTAATATCTGATGTGTCCATTTATTCTTTTACATAGGGACTGTCCAGTTTGGCCAATGTATATAGCAGAGGGGCACTGTTGGCACATGATGGCATATTTTACGTTAGTAGATGTGCAGGAGAATGAACCAGTGACAGTCGTATGGCTGATCTGGTTAGGTCCTGTGATGGTGTTGCTGGTGTATATATGTGGGCAGAGTTGGCACCAAGGTTTGTTGCATGGATAGGTTCCTGAGTTAGAGTTACTGTGGTGCGGTGTATAGTTGCTGGTGAGAATATGCTTCAGGTTGGCGGGTTGTCTGTGGGCGAGGACTGGCCTGCCTCCCAAGGCCTGTGAAAGTGAGGGATCATTGTTGAGGGTGGGTTGTAGAATTCGCTTTTGCAGATTCAGACTAACACGGCTATCTCTCAGATACTCTTAGTCAAGTAAGTTCAATGGCAATCAGAACTATTAGTAAAAACATTCAAATTAACTGAGTACCTGTTAAAAAGACTCAAGCTACTCAGTATTTCTTTTTATTTACCCTCGTGTGTGTAAGGTTCTCATGGGGAGAGATGATATGCTCACACTCCCCTACATGTCTCTTACCAACCTGCCCAGCGCTCTTCACCTTCCATGCCTATCTGGGCCCCTGGTATGGACAGACTTGCTTCTCCTGGAACCTGGCATCGCATTTTCTCAAGGCAACCTGAAGAGGACTTGCAGGGTCACAGGCTCCCTCCCCAGATTTATTTCAGGGTTCCCACTAGAATGTGGCAAGCAGCACTGTGTGATGGGAGCTGCTTACAGCTGAAAGAGGAGTGGGGAGGAGGGGGGAGGAAGATAGGGATGATCTGTATCATGTTTTTCCAAATGTCATCTATTCCCTCTCACTCCACTCTCCCTTGCTTGTCCCCTTCTGCCCACACTGTGTAGAAAGGCAGCTAACAGCTCCAAGCAGCTTCTTGCCACCAACATAATCCGGCCACCTCCTGTCCCCTGGCTATGGTGCAGGCAGGCAGGCAGAAGTTACGTCCTTAGGATGCATTGAGCACCAGAGCTCAGGGAGCCTGGTTGTGGGGGTTTCAGCAAACCTGGCTAGAGAGGTGGCTCAGCATGGGAGAGAGCCTACAGGAGAGACCAGCCCCACACTCCCTGGGGAAGTACTTAGGGTGGAGGAGCAGCATGTGTAGAAGGTGCTAAGCATCCCTGCCTGGGGACTTGCAGGGGGGAGGTGCAAACAGGCTGGAAACAGCTTCCTCCCGCAACTCCAGAGCTTAGCTAAGGGATGGAGAAGCTTCCCCATGCCAGTGCTGTGTACAGCTTTGGCACACACAGGGCTTGGCACCTGTTGGCCAGTGCCCCAGGCTAGAGAGTCTTGAGCTTTCCTTGGGTGCCTGCCCAGCTAGAAGCATTGAGGGAACAAAGGATCCTGCCAGTCAGGTTGTTGGAGAGCTGAATGATCTAACTAGGGGCTGGTTCTCTGCACAGCACCAGGAGTGGGGAGACACCCTCTCAGGGGGAATATGGAGGAGCAGCGGGGCTAAAGGGACATGAACAGGTACAGCAGAGAGAGGACAGTGGGAGGAGAAGCATGTAAAGGAATGATGGATGTAATCAGCCACCACCTGCTCACACTCACCAGCCACTGCTGCAATCAGCCAGTGTGGGCTGGAAACAGGGTAGGCCAGGGGGAGCCTGCTGGCTATAGCTTTGCCCAGTCACCAGCCTTGCACACTCACCCCCATCATCAACAACTGGACCACCCCACTCACCGCTGTTGGGCATGTGGCTGGTGAGGAAGGATCTCGCTAGTAGTACGACCCACCAGTATTGATGGGAAGGAAGTGAAACAAAATACAGGACAATTTGCCCATTAAAAAAAAAATGTAGGTTCACCTACAGGAAGGCTTAAATATGGGATTATCCCTTTAATGACAGGACATCTGGTTACCCTAAGCTGAAGGCATGAGGACTTTGTTCTTTTGTTAAAATGCAACTGCTGGATCTGACCAGCAAATCTGGTACACTGGAGGACACCAAGCAGAGAAAATAAACAATATCCTAAATGTGAAAGTTAACTACTGGGTCTTCTGCATGACTGCTTCTTATATAAAGTTAGTATATTAGTTACTAAAATGAGGAGTATTAATACAGGCACAAATGTTGCTATTTGTTAACATACATTGGCCAAAGCACAGAAAGGCTGCGAATAATGAAATATAACACACTAACCAGGTCTGGTATGACATTTGTGTATACATGTGTATATATTATACATACAGTGATGAACAATGTCAAAATCAGATCTATTGCCCTGGCTTTATTTAGTGATGCAGGAATCAGTGGCACAATTCACTCACTAAAGTGCATTATGTTTGTGAGCACAGTTTAATAAAACAAATGAAATAGAATAGGTGACTGGGTGATATTTTATCCAAAGATGCAGCAATATAACCCAATAATATAATTACTAATATAAGAGTCTATGATTTATTTAATTGTTTTAAAGATAAAACTGAAAATTTTTATAATCTAACATTTTTTTAAACACAAAAGTTATATCAGTAGATAACCAGGAATGCAACTTGAATTCAACTGGAATATCTTAAATTGTTAAAATAGAACTTGCTTCCAATAAAATAAAAGAACTAGGGCTGTCAATTACATCTAACTCACGTGATTAACTTAAATTTTGCAATAAATTGTTTTAACCACTTTTAATTGAGCTGTTAAACAGTAATAGAATACCAACATATATTATAAATATTTGTTTTTCTACATTTTCAAATATATTGATTTCCATTTCAACACAGAATGCAAATTATGCATTGTTCATTTTGTATTATTCGAATTACAAACATATATGCACTGTAAAAATAGTATTTAGGTTAGTCTCGTACAAGTACAGTAGAGCAATCTCTATTATGAAAATACAACTTACAAATAGATTTTTTTTACATAATTGCACACAAAGAAACCAATATAAAATTTTAGTGCCAATAGGTCCAGTCAATCCTACTTCTTGTTCACTAAGACAAACAAGTTTGTTTGCAATTACGGAAGATAATGCTGCCTGCTCCTTATTTATGTCACCTGAAAGTGAGAACAGGCATTCATATGGCACAGCTGTAGCTGACATCAGAAGAGTATTTGTGTGTCAGATACGGTAAATATTAGTTTGCCCCCTTATGCTTCAACTCTTAGTTTAGTACATTATTTTGATTACAATATTGGTAAAGTAGTCTGCACTGTAATCAATATATTTGAAAATATAGAAGAACATCCAAAAATCTTTATAATTTAAATTGGCATTCTGTTAACAGTGAGAGTAATGTTTTAATTAGGGAATATTCAGCAGTTACATGTTTACACACGGGTGGCGGTCTGCTCCCACCTCTTCCTCCCTCCCTCATTAGAGGCAGCAGCATGGGGTTGGACGGAGCAAGCCAGAGCTACTGCATGGTGGGAGCTGGCTTTTAAACTGGCTCCCTGTATGTACTGCGTATAACTGTGAAGGGTAACCGATGAGCCCATGCTCATTGCTTAACTGTGTACACTTTCATATCCCTGGTTTAAATCTTGTGATTAATCACAATTTTTTGTACTTGTTTGACAACCCTAAAAGGAACTTAATCTCTTTTTTCAAAATGATATAAGAGTTGTATTAACAAGCAAGGTCTTTTTATTTTGGTTGATTTTTGTGTGAAGGGTTGAGAGGTTACCTGGTAAGCATTCACCCTACCAGGGAAACCAGTTAATGAACTCCAGGCTACAGCAGGCTCTGCCCATAGCATGTTGTGGTGGGCCCTGCCTAGCCTGGCTGGGGCGTGGGGGGGCGGGCCCCCCCTGCCACACCGCAGACTGCTCTAGTGGCCCCTGCTTGCAGCCTCATGGGCCAGCTAACCAGTTCAACAATATAACATTTTAAATAGGATTTTGCATCCCTAATGGGAAAAGAACAGTTGCTTACCTGTAACTGTTGTTCTTCGAGATGTGTTGCTCATGTCCATTTGAAGTAGGTGTGCACACCGCAAGCACCGCATCTTCCGGAGCGTTTTCCCTAACGGTACCCGTAGCGCCAGAAGGGCACCCTCTGGAGTGGCGCTGCCATGGCGGGGCATAAGTACCCCTGCCGGCGCTACCCCACCTCAGTTCCTTCTTGCCGGACACTCCGACGAAGGGGAGGTAGGGTGGGAGTCGAATGGACACGAGCAACACATCTCGAAGAACAACAGTTACAGGTAAGCAACCGTTCTTTTCTTCGAGTGGTAGCTCATGTCCATTCGAAGTAGGTGACTACCAAGCTAACCACACGGAGGAGGGGTCGGTGCAGTCATACCACCAGAGTCATGAAGTGAGGTGAACAAACTGATTTATTTGAACAATTCAACACTGATAAGGCACCATTTAAGAACAAAGACAAGCGGAAACATATTTACATCACAGATTCGAGGACTGCAAAGCCCACCCTTGCATCCTCCCTGGCCTGCTGAGGTTAGTGTGTTGCAAACGTGTGAAGGGAAGACCAGGTAGCTGCCCTGCAAATTTCTGTGATCGGTACCTGGGCACCAAAGGCCACCAAGGACACCTGCGCCCTGGTGGAGTGTGCCTTCACCCTGGGTGGGGTTTTACCAATCAGGTGATAGCATTCTGTGATGCACTGCACCACCCATCTTGATAGCCTTTGTGTGGAAATAGGCGACCCTTTCACCCTGTCCCCAAATGCAATAAACAACTGTTGTGATTTACGGAATGGCTTGGTCCTATCAATGTAGAACGCCAGCACCCGCTTGGCGTCCAGGGAGTGGAGAACCTGCTCCTTAGAGGAGGCGTGAGGTTTTGTGAAAAAAAAAAAAAACCAGGAGATAAATCTTCTGGGACAGGTGGAATGGTGATACCACCTTCGGGAGGAAGGCTGGATGAGGCCGTAGCCTTACATTGTTATCGGAAAAAACAAGGTAGGGCGGGTCTACAGTTAGCGCCCTTAGTTCAGACACCCTTCGAAACAATTGCTGTGATTTACGGAACGGCTTGGTCCTATCAATGTAGAATGCCAGCGCCCGCTTGGCGTCCAGAGAGTGAAGCACCCGCTCCTTAGAGGAGGCGTGAGGCTTTGGGGAAAAAAACGGGAGATAAATCTCCTGGGACAGGTGAAAAGGTGAAACTACCTTCGGGAGGAAGGCTGGATGAGGCCTTAACCTTACACTGTTATGGGAAAAAACAAGGTAGGGCGGGTCTACAGTTAGCGCCCTTAGTTCTGACACCCTTCGAGCAGATGTAATGGCCACGATGAAAGCAACCTTCAATGAAAGGTGCTGCAGGGAACACGTGGCCAGCGGTTCAAAGGGAGGTAGCATAAGCCTGTGGAGGACCACGTTAAGGTGCCAGGCGGGAAGCGGGGCCCTCACCGAGGGGTACAGTTTTTCCAGGCCAGTAAGAAACCTTTTAACTACCGGGTTAGAAAAAAGGGAAACTCCTGCCATACCAACGTGGAAGGTGGAGAGAGATGCCACATGGACTTTGATAGAAGAAAAAGATAGAAAAAGATAGGCCACTAGACCGAAACTGGAAAAGGTAGTCAAGAATAGTTGGAATAGGAGCCGAGGAGGGGTGTACTCCTCTCCGGGACACTCAAGATGAGAAGTGCCGCCACTTGGCAGCATACGACCATCTAGTAGAGGGTTTCCTGCTACTGAGGAGAACCATCTGAACCTCTTGGGAACATTCCCTTTCAGGTTGGTTCAACCACGGATAAATCATACCACTAGGTGGAGAGATCAGAGATCCGGGTGAACCATGATCCCCTCGCCCCAGGGTTGAATTAGCAGATCCCGGACTAGAGTGAGTGTTATTGGGTCCTGGACAAGCATGTCCACCAGGATGGGGAACCAGAACTGTCTGGGCCACCTGGGGGCTATGAGAATGATCGAGGACCGAAAGGTCATAGAATCATAGAATCATAGGACTGGAAGGGACCTAGAGAGGTCATCGAGTCCAGCCCCCTGCCCTCAAGGCAGGACCAAGCTCCGTCTACACCATCCCTGACAGATGTCTATCTAACCTGTTCTTAAATATCTCCAGAGAGGGAGATTCCACCACCTCCCTTGGCAATTTATTCCAATATTTGACCACCCTGACAGTTAGGAATTTTTTCCTAATGTCCAATCTAAACCTCCCCTGCTGCACTTTAAGCCCATTACTCCTTGTCCTATCATCAGAGGCCAAGGAAAACAATTTCTCCCTCTTCCTTGTAACACCCTTTTAGATACTTGAAAACTGCTATCATGTCCCCTGGTTCCTGGGTCCACCATAGGAGGGAGTCCAGAATTTCTTTGGGCACTGTAATTATCGAGTCCCAAAGACCCCTGGACTGGCTGAAGGCCCTCACCAACCACACCTGCATGGGTCTCATCCGCAATCTGGCATGGCAGACTGTGTATGTACACGCTGCCATATGGCCTAGGAGCCTGGAGCAGACCCGAGGGGTCGTTATAGGGGACCGGGTTAGCCCCGAGATCAGCTCCACTATGGAGAGGAACCTGCTCTTGGGCAGGAACGCCCTTGCCACCCTTGAATCAAGGAGAGCTCCCACAAATTGTATCTGTTGCGAGGGAGTCAGGGATGACTTTGACATTTATCAGGAGTCCTAACCTTAGGAAAAGGGCTCTTGTGAGTGCCATGTGAGCTTCTACCTGCCCGTACGAGCGACCTCGGATCAGCCAGTCGTCGAGGTACGGAAACACGTGCACCCCTTGTTTGCGGAGATATGCAGCAACCACCGCCATGCATTTCATGAAAACCCTCGGTGCCGTACATAAACCAAAGGGGAGCACCGTAAACTGAAAATGGCGTTGGCCCACCATAAACCTGAGGAACCTCCTGTGGCTGGGTCTGATTGCCACGTGGAAGTACACGTCCCTGAGGTCGAGAGTCGCGTACCAGTCTCCTAATTGCATCACTGGAATGACCGATGCCAGGGTCACCATTCTGAATTTGTGTTTTACTACCGCCCTGTTTAGATCTCGAAGGTCCAATATGGGACGGACCCCCCCCCCCTAGGCCCAGGGCAGTAGATTGGTACGGGACTCTCAAACGAGGTGTCAAAACTGAGGCTTGCCCTGAGGGGAAGGACCGTGAGGACCTCCACGCTGGGTATCAGTCTTGGGGCAACGACGTCAACCCCTAGCCCCGAGGGTGCGCGGCCGCCCGGGAACCTCCACCAAAGGCCCGGGAACGGCGCCTCCAGTAATCCCCACGGGGGACCTGGGGCTGCGCCCTTCCCTGCTGCCTATAGGGCAGCTATCGCCGCTGCGGGGCCGGCGTGTGGATGCCCAAGGACTTTAGGGTGGACCTAGTGTCCTTCAGGGTATGGAGCCTATAGTCAGTGTGCTCCGAGAACAGAGCTTTGCCCTCAAAAAGCAAGTCCTGAATTGTATGCTGCACATCCGGGGGAATTCCCGAGACGTGGAGCCATGCCCCCCGACGCATAACGACACCAGTTGCCATCGTGCAGGCCGCTGAATCCACGGTGTCAAGAGCCGCTTGGAGAGCAGTTCGCGAGATGACTTTACCCTCTGAGGCAACAGCCGCGAACTCCTGGCGGTCCTCCACAGGGAGTCTGTCACGGAACTTTTCGGCGGCCTGCCAGGTGTTAAAGGCATACCTACTCAGCATTGCCTGCTGGTTTGCGATGCAGAGTTGTAGCGCCCCCGTGGCGTAAACCTTACGGCCCAACAGGTCCTGCCGCTTAGGCTCCCTAGCCTTTGGAGAAGGACTCAGCTGAGGGAGTCTTTCCTTTTGGGCCGCGGCCTGCACGACCAAGGACCCGGGGGTGGGTTGTGAGTACAGGTAATCGTGCCCCGAGTTTGGGACTTAATAATGCCTCTCGACCCCTTTCAAGGTAGGGGTCAAGGTTGCCAGCGTTTGCCACAGGGCATTGGTAATCTTTGATACCGTTTTGTTAAGGGGTAAGGCCAATCGCGTAGGCGCATCTTCCGTGAGGATGTCCACCACTGGATCTGTGTCCTCGATGACAAGTTCCACCGGAACGACCAAGTTGGCAGCCATGCGGCGGAGGAGGTCCTGGTGCATGCGGGCATCCATTGACGGCAGACTCTGTGCAGGGTCTGCTAGTGCCTCATCCGGGGACGACGACAACGACTCCTGAAGTGGCACAGGAACAGTCGTCGCCAAGTGCGGAGCCGTCTGGGTAGCTTGCGCTCCTGATGGGTCCACCTCCAGTGCCAGCAGTTGCAGTGCCGCTGGATCGGGTTGAGGTGCCCAGAGAGGGGAGGGAGGGGCTTGGGACAGGCACGCTGATGGTTGGGAACGGTGCCCCGAAGTCCCTGACCCCAGAGAAGGAGGCAGCTGACCTTGCCACTGATGGTAGGCCCAGGGGATCCAGAAAGGCCACTGTGGGTGCGGAGGCCACGTTTGTGGAGTGTGGTCCCTCCTATGTCTGGACCTGGACCTATGGGTTGAGGATGTCCTCGAGGAACCCGAACGGATGGAGGAAGCATCCAAGTCCGAGGAATAATCGGACTCCGGCCAGGGTGGAGCCAATGAAGAAAGCGGGGCAAACCTTGCCATTGACTCGGGCTTACCCGCATGAGTACGTCGTGGCCGCACTATCTGTGGGGCCGGGGGACCCATGCCCTGTGTCGGAAGGCTCGCTGACGGTTGCGGCACCGGGGGACCCAGACCCAGTGCCGAGGGTTCTACGGCACCCAGTTGCGGCACCGGGGTGCCCAGGCCCGGTGCTGGCTGAGTCGCCAGCAGCTGCGGCACCGGGGTGCCCAGGCCCGGTGCCGGTTGAGATGCTGCCCAAGGCTGCGGCACCGGGGTGCTCAGGCCCGGTGCCAGTTGAGTAGCGGCCAGCGGTTGTGGCACTGGGGTACCCAGGGCCGGTGCCTGACAAGACCAATGCGTCGATGCCAGTGCAGATGAAGGCACAGAGACAGACGCCGGCTCCTGGGTGACCTCCATGGAGGAGAGAAAGGTCTGAGTGGACGCCACATGGCTACTCAGATACGGCACCAGCACCGCCAGGCAGGGAGCTGGTAAGGAGCTCAACTGCAGCTCAGTTCGCGCATGGCTTGAAACTCCCTGAGAGCGACGGCTCGGCGATGAGAAGGGCGCTGAAGTAGCGATCGGTACTGACCTCACATGGGGTGGTCCCAACGCATAAGCCACTTTAGTATGCCAAGCTGGGCCATGCAGGGGTGAAGCTGTAGCCAGCAGAGCCTCCGACAATGGTGACCTCGACCCTTCCGAGTCAACCGAGGATGCAGGAGAGGTCGTGAGGCTAATAAGGTCCTGCTCCACCTCGAACGTATCCGGCGTGGACGGGCGGTGTGGAGGCAGGCGACCAGGACTACCTAGTCCTCCTCTGCGCCGTCGGTGCGAAGGGGACGATACGCGCACCGGAGAGCCCATAGTGCGGTGCCCAACCGACGTTGTCTTCTTCGAAGGGGGCCTTCCCCGGGATTTCTTCACTCTCTTAGTCGGAGGAGAGTGCGACCGGTGCTGAGAACTCGACGCCAACGCGCGGTGCCGGTGAGGAGCCTCCCGCGTGGAAGCCGGTGCACTGCGCACCGCAGGCTGTTCCGGCAGCACCAGCGGAAGCGCTGTCTCCATGAGGAGAAGTTTCAGGCGGGAAACCCTTTCTTTTCTCGTTCGGGGCTTAAAGGACTTGCAGATCTTACAGGCAATAGCCAGATGAGTCTCACCCAAGCACTTAAGACAGCTGTCGTGGTAGCCAGAAGAGCCTCACCCAAGCACTTAAGACAGCTGTCGTGTGGGTCGCCCCTGGGCATAAACTTCCCGCAGTCAGCGCACGTCTTGAAGCCTTGCGGCCCTGGCATTCCTTACCCCAAAGGGGGAAGGAACAAAGCAAAGAACCTAACTATCTAACTGAGAACTATTTACAAACGAATGTGACAACGGGAACCATTAACTAACTAAGTAGACTGGGAGATACGGAGATGCTCCAACGACCGTCGCTGCGGTAAGAAGGAACTTAGGTGGGGCAGCGCCGGCAGGGGTACTTATGCCCCGCCATGGCGGTGCCACTCCAGAGGGCCCCCTGCCGGTGCTACGGGTACCACTAGGGAAAACGCTCCAGAAGACGCGGTGCGCACACCTACTTCGAATGGACATGAGCAACCACTCGAAGAAGAACATAAAATTCAGACACAAAATATCTAAAAGAAAACTGATGAGAAATTAGAAGTCAGTGCTCTATTATCAGAAAGAGGAAAATGTTTATGGTTGAATTATGTGGTTCAATGAGTATTCCATTTTTACACATTATTATCCATTTGGCTGATACTCTTCCTATCAAATCAATTTATGCAAAGCTTCAAAAACAAATTTTAAAAGAAAAAAAGTGCCTCAATTACATCTTCCATTATGGTCTCATTCAACAGGATTTTTATTTTTTTTTAGTAAGCCAAAAAGAAGAATATTGAAGAATGACACTATTACTGTGAAAATGCCTCATGACATTTTATTGGCATCTCACAAGTAGTGATGTAAAATCCCATTCAATTGGCTAACTAAACAAACATATTGTTTAACCGGTTAACAGATTAAAGTGGGGGGATGCTCCAGTCCTGCTAAAGCGGTCTCTGCCCTCCACTGTACTGGAACACCCCCTTCCCTCTCCCACCACAAGCAGGGGCTAATTGGGCCAGCCTTAGGCAGGGCTGCGCTGGAGTAGCCCCAGTCCACAATGAGCCCCCTCTGGGTGGCTGGAGCAGCCCCCCACCTACAGCAGGCAGAGAGCTGCTCTACCCCCATGGATTAAATCTTCACATCTCTACTTACAAGTCATATCACATGATTTAACTTTTTTCTTGTTAATTTAGAAGTTTGCCTTTTGCTGGAAAAGTTTTCAAGTGAGAATAGGTTCAAAGCTACAATTTGTTTAAATAATTGCAATAATAAAACTATTTTTTTTTTTAGAAAACACAAATAAAACACAGAATAGGATTCAAACAAGATAACCTACTTGTTATTTTTGCAAAGTTTGCCTTTGACTGATCAAACATATCTGTAATGCCAAGTACTTTCAGGGGCTCCTTTAAATCTGTTTCTGCTACTGCTGTGAACCTAATTGAAGCATACAAAATAAAGAGATCAAAATTATTACTTAAAAGTTGCTTTAAGTGCTGAGGAGGACTATAAAATAATTCCTTATTTTGATTTGATTCAGGAAAACATCCCTATTTGGGAGCTCACTTGGGTAAAATAACTTGCACTCTCTTTTGTATCATGGTTGTCATCCAGCTCTGTATTGTTTTTGTGCTGATGTGAGGAATGATAGCAGACAGAGGGGTAGTGCTTTCTGTAGGCAGAGCAATCAACATACTGATACTTTCGCCATGGTAAGGAAGTTCAATTATGTTATACCACAAGTCATTTGGGGTACTTGTTGTACCTAAGGAGAGATATCAAAAGAGAGAGAAGCCATAATTCTCAAATAGCTAGAGCAGTCAACCTCTATTACATATTCAGAAACAGTAGACGGTAAAAATGTTGGCAACACTGTAACACTGTGGTGACTGTAAAGGCTTGATAACAGAGTTTGGTTACTGCTTTCCAGTACAGTTCACTTATATTGACTCCATGTTTGTCATATAAGTAGTGTTTCTGCATTGTTCTGTCAAAATGCAAGAGCAAAAAAAATTCTACTGTGTAACATCTCAGATTAGTTTCTACAAGTTACGTGAGTATTACTTTGTGGGTTTTTGACATAGCTTTGAAAATATAAATAGCTATTTTGTAAACCCCAGCTGCTTCAAGAGTCCTGTCAGTGGCTACTGAAACAGTAAGGAACTTTGGCATGATGGCAACAACAACAAAAAACCCTCCAAAAGAGATCAAGAGACTCTTTGTAAAACAGGTTCTCTTTTCCTCTAAGGGCCATGATACTCTGGGGCTCAGAAGCATTCTTTGTCAGTCACTGCCAACTGCCACACCATCTACCTTTAAATCTGATTGAATCTTGTGTAGTTTCTAAACTGAGCTAACATACTATTGCTACAGTTCACCAAGAAGATTCCCCTGGAAACAGTAAGGTAGGAAAGTAATGGAAACCGGCAACTAGAGCAGACGGCAGCAGAAGAGCTTAGGAACTTGTATCTTGCTCTGGGAAAGACTGCCAGCAGTTTAAGTACATGTTGCACAGACTGTATCATGCCATTTGCTATCTGTAATGTGCAAGACCACGTTGAGTGAGTAAAGAAACATGAGGTCTCTTCCGAAGTCCACTAAAGTCAATAGGGGTCTTTCAATTATTTTTAAAAGACTGGGAACATTCTAAAGGATCATTGAAATTTTTTACCCATGATGCTACTTTGGTAGTTTATTTTGGCTAGATATAGATCCAATGATGCAAACTTCTGCTGCAATTGATCATGGTGTAGCCTATACAATAGATTTCAGCCTACACACTAAATAAAATGTTCCAATATTCTAACTGCTGCTGGTAATTAGAGACCATAACTACTGTAGTTAAAGACCATACTTACATCAATAGCCTACTGTTGGGAGAGGTTTCTATACCACTTGGAAACCAACAAAACCAGCCTAAATTCTTGATTGTTCAATTATGGAATAGGATGACAGGAAACAAAGTGCTATGCAAAAAGACTAATAGGGCTAATGAAAAGCACAACAGGCTTGTTTGCCAGTTGAAAATAAAGTGGAAAAAAATCTAGCTACTTGAATAGATCTTGGTCAATAAAGATGATATATGGAGACAGTTAAAAGAAAATAAATGGTCAAAAAGACTAAGGAAGATGAAAGACATTTTATGTTCCAGGACAATTCCTCCAGGAAATACAGGCAGTCCCCGGGTTACGTACAAGATAGGAACTGTAGGTTTGTTCTTAAGTTGAATCTGTATGCAAGTCGGAACTGTCGTCCAGATTCAGCCGCTGCTGAAACTGATCAGTTTCAACAGCGCAAAGCCGCAGAGCACGCGGACAGCTGACAGCCCAGACGCGTCTGGGCTGTCCGCTGCCCGCGTGTTCCGCCGCTTTGCTTCCTCTCCCTGGTCTGCTGGAGACCAGGGAGAGAGAGGGCCCCGTTCGTAACTGCGGATCCGACATAAGTCGGATCCGCGTAACTCGGGGACTGCCTGTAGACTAAAGTCTCCTTATTTTAACAGAAAAAGAAGTTAACAAATTAAGCTAATAATAAGCTTGTTTGAAAATAAGTCTCTCCTTACAAAAAGGAAGCAATAAAAAAGGCATCCTGAAATTTATTCAAGAATAAAGAGACCTGCACAAGTAGCTCCTTTTGCTGGTAAAACATTCCACACCATAATGGTTCATCAGCCAGCTCAGCTCATGCTAAAATTCTCAAAAGTCCCCTTTAATTATCAAGATATTAACTGGTGCTCTAACAAACATCATAGCTGTGGATGGGATCATGGAGGATTTCAGCTAGGAGTCTATTTACAAATGTCCTGTGTCAGAGATCTACACTGCAACCTGTAGATCCATTAGCAATCTGTAAGTCTTTCCTATGTCTAATTTGCACTTTATTTTGAAAGCTAATTATTTTCTTTATTGTTCTGGAGATACAGTGGAGACTGATAAACCTATTCATCAGTGTGATTCCTAATAAGAGAGACTCTTTTCGTGACAGGGAATCTCTTAACTAACATTCTTACTTTCATCAGCTGTGTGGACAGCATGCTTCCTATATATCTAGTGAAAAGCACACATTTTGACAAGTGTCAAAAGCACAAGTTCAATTAGAGCAGACTTAAAGTCTCTCATGAGAAGAGCACATCTATCTGCACAGACCACGTGTTAGAAAGTGATATTTGGTCAAGTCATCCCTACGCACTAGCAACATCTCACTACATTTTCTACTCTATCAAAATCCACATTGGTCATCCCAAAATAATGATGGATTTCTGTACTGGAAAAGTGACCTTGTTAACAGAGCCCTGCAGCCTTAAGACTGCTTGCCTAAAATTAGTTAATTCCTGAGATGGTGGAAGGAAGCAGTTAGCTTACCTCTTTTTCCAGCTCATCTCATTTTTTAGCTCAACTAAAGAAAATGTTTTCTCTCATTGTCTCCTTTATCTTAGGCTTATGGTTCTCAAACTAATGGTCTAGTGATTACATGTTGCCAACTTCCCTCATTCACAATGGCTTACAAACAGCAACATACATTACTTTCGCAATATTATGTTTCCATGCAAAGATTTGGTGTAGTTTCCATAGGATGCTGTGATCTTCAAAGCTGCAAATGGGAGGGAAGGTGTCTACAAGATTTTTTTGCTTCTAAAATGCTTCTCGCAATACTAAAAAGTCTGAGAATGTCTGAAATACCTAGCCTGAAATATGTTTCAGTTCTGCAACCAGATCTAAAGGCCTTGAAAATAACAGCCTTGATTCCAGTCACAGTTATGACAGTGTAATAAAGTTACTACTTATTTACACAAGTATCAGCAAGATCAGAATCAGGCCCTATGAATTTTAGGGTAATAAGAAAGGTAAGCAAGATCTGACTGTAGTGGGTGATCCTTTTATGAAGTATAGATTCTAAATATTTCAGTGCCTGATTTTCATTCATGCCCCCCTAAGGCTTGTCTAGAGAACTAGATTATGTTTGCTTTAATCTATAAAGAATTTCAGGACAGATAGCCAAGATATAAAATAGTTTCATATTTTTTAAACCAGAGAGTGATATATTTTTTAGGTACATATGCTGGCTAACCTAGAATATTTTAACTGATTACTTACAATAGAAAAAATTGAAGCAACAAATTTATGTTTGCCGTCTGGGCTAGGTGGTGGTACATTCTTTTACCAGTAATAGTTTTTTTTAATACATTTCTAATAATGTAATCTTTTTAAAAGGTGTGTAGTGCATTTGAAAGCAACTTATAAAGAGCATCTTTCTAATCTTATAACACAGGCAAGCGCTCTTAAAAAAATGCTGCAAATGAAGTTTGAGCCTGACCAGCAAATCCACATTTTCAGTACTAGAAATATTGAGTTGAAGCTGCCAGTCATGTGGAATTTTGTACTGGTTTTGTGACAGACACAAATAGAAATTAGGCTGAACCCAGTGATCTCTTTTCACTTTCTATCCAATTTAGAATTTAAATGCAAGTTTCCAGAGGTAAGCAACTAATATACTAACCCTATGCTACTCAAACCCTTTGTTCAATGGTTATTTTCTGCAATACTGTTTTCAGCTGTCTGCTACTTCAGAATCTAAATTTAAGCATGCTTTGTGTAGAATTTGTATGGCCTGTCATAAAATAAAGAAATCTATTTTAATTTTTTTCCTGATTTTTAAAGTATATTCTTTCCCATAATATATTGATACAACACAATATAAAAACCAAAGTAATTCAAGTATATTCTTTCCCATAATATACTGATACAACACAATATAAAAACCAAAGTAATTCTAAGTGTTTCTACTTCAGACAGGTTTTTGATTATGAACAGGACACATTTTATTTCTTAATTATTTGGCCAAAGTGTTTTTTGTTTGTTTGTTTTTTTAAAAACAGGAAAATTGAAAATGATACACCTACATAAAAAAGTCATCTGATTTCCAAAGGTGCTGATCAGTCACAGTTCTTAATGTTTCATCCCTATTGGACATCAGAGTTTAAAATGTTGTTTTCACATTTAAGCAACAATAGCTTTTCAACACAAATATTGACTCCAACAGGAATAGGATATGCTCCCCCCCCCAAAAAAAAATTACATACATTAACCTTCTTTGCCTATGTTTTGAAAAGAACGCAGTGCAAAAAAGTGTTTTGTTTACATGCTAAAGAAGCTAGTTCCTGAACTTACCACAGCGGAACAGAGACAACTGGGCCAGCATAGGTACTTGGTAAGTCTTCCCATCAGCGCCATTAAATGTGCGTTTCTTTGTATTTTCAGGTTGAAAACGTGATTTCCATAAACCCTTGAAATACACTGCATTTACCAGCACCAGCCTGGTCAAAGAACCATCAATAATGTCCGGAGATAAGAGATTATCAATCATACCTGAAAATAAGGTATCAAAAGGAAAGGGGGGGAGGGAGAGATTGAGTATTTTCTGTCACAACGGAAGCCAGTTGGTCATGAAGGACAGAGGAGCCCAATGTACTTTGTAATTCACTAGGTAGCATTCATTCTGATTTGGAGCAAAGATGACTGCTAACTTCAGTTCAAAAAGTTACAGCTTTGTTCATTTCAGGGCCCACTGACATCAGTGGGAGTTATTTACCGAATACGGCAGGAGCTATATTAGGACTTAGACTACACTAGCAAGGGAAAGCATTAGAACCTATCAGAGTTGTTTTCAAGTAGGGCTTTATTTAACAAGGTTTGCCCAGTTCAGTGGTTCTCAAACCTTTTGGCCTGCGGCCCACCCAACTCATTGCAGACAAGCAGCAGCTAATGGACACTCACCATTAATTATATAATTATGCCTGAACCATTTTGCCAGTGCTGCAGTTAGGGAGAATGATTTAATTTAACCAATAAGAAAGGAAGTATTAATTGAGAGTATTAAACAGATTAAACACTTTAACTTTGTTAGTTTACCAAATTTCATTTTAAATAAAGTAAAATATTGTCTAACAAAAGCTTTCAACATTGTCTTTATTTATGGCAGGGGTGGGGAGCCTTTTTTGGGTCAGGAGCCACTGACCCACAGAAAAATCTGTTGGGAACCACAGAAGTGAGAAGCAAAAAATCTCCTCCAAAAACCCAACCCTCACTGATATGGCCCTCAATTGAGACCCCTCAATCTCCTGGTTCTCCAGCCCCATTGGGGGAGGAGGGGAAGAAACAGGGAGGACTGAGGTTTAGGGCTTCCCATGGGCTGGCCTATCTCTTCTGGGGTTAGTGGATTTTGTAGATTCCCCCAAGCTCTGGGATGAGGTAAAAAATGAGGGGCTCAGTGTGCGGGACAGGGCTACCTGTGAGGGGGATAGGGATGGTGTGATGTAGTGGGCATTGTATTTGCTCTCTGTGCAGCTCTGTGTGCGCATGCACTAAAAGTTCCTTGGGCACTGCACTAGCATCTGGCTGGGGATGGGAATGTTGAGTGTGGCTTTCACCGAGGAAAAGGCTGCCTCAGGCTGCCCCATCTTAGCATGTACACAGCAATAGCTCAGGCTGTCCTGTAAACTAAGCCTGGGTGGGGGAAGCAACCAGGTGACACCTTGCCTGGGAATCTGAACAAAAGAGGGGGCGGCTCTGCCTCCAAGCTTGGGGACTAGTTGCTGCATTTGTGAGTTCTCTTGGGTGGTAAAGGGGGCCCAGGGTGCTGGTCCTGGGTCCCCCTCTCCCCAAGTTGGATTGTACTGTCTGCTTCTGGTTCCTGTATTAACAAGTCTGTGATACACTGTGTCCCTATCAACAAATAAACCTTCTGTTCTACTTGTTTGAGAGTCACAGCTGGCTGCAGATGGGGGCACAGGGCCTGGTGACTCCCCCACACTCTGTGACAGATGGAAATGCAGGGTCTGGGTGGGAGGTGGGGTGCAGGAGCAGGCTGGGTGTAGGGTTTCTGGCCAGGGGGAGAGAGCAGGAGCAAGCTGGGGATGCAGGGTCTTGGCCGAGGGGGGAAGAGTGAGTGAAGGGGATTGGGATGCAGGGTCTGGGCAGGGGGGAGAGGGGGACGGGAGAGACACATACCTAGCTTTCCACCCTTACTGCTCCCAGGCATGGCCTCTCACTGCTCCCATTGACCGAAACTCCGTCTAATGGGAGCAGCAGGGAAAGCCTCCAGACAGCATGTCATTGTGCTACTATTCCCCCAGCAGGGTGGAAGAGAGCAGCAGTGCATGGAGCTGCTTGTTCTGTCTCTCTACAGCAGTGTAGGTTGAGGACACGGACATAGACGCACCCCTCTGTAAGCACAGACGCACCCCTCTGTAAGTGGGAAGAAAGAGCTGGTGCTCCAGCTTCACCATGGCTGCAAGGGTAGAGCACCAGTGTGGGCTTCTCGCTGTGAGCAGAAGGGAGGGGGCTGAGGTTGAGCCACAGACCACCTGTAAGGTGGCCACAATCACCAGCCTAGTTTAGTGAACGATTAAATCTGACAGCCACAGCCCATCAACACACAACCCTATAAACATGGAAGTGAAAAGATAAGGGGGGAAATCTCCATCACTGGTTGCCACCCAGGCATTGCCTTCACCACAATCAATGACACTTCAAGCATCCACAGGATGTCATTTTCACCTCCAACACATATCAAGATGCAATGCGTGTCCCAAGTTCATCTAAATTATGTGTAATGCAAAATCTGAACTCTGATCTCAGCAATATGTAGATATTTTTGGATAGTGGGAGTATTGCCTTAAGTCCAAGTCAGCATTAGATTTCGCATTTTCTCTTTGTTTTTGAAAATACCACCACTGGAATTAGCTTAGTGGCAGTGACTCTAAGAGCAATATAGATACCTTGCATCTCCAAGTAGTTAGGCAAGCTAATTTATCCCTGGTGGGTTTTTTTTTTTTTTTAAGATGAGACTCAGTCTCTTTCCACCACTTTAAGAACTTTTTACCACTCCCTCAACTTTAGTGAGTCTATTAAGTGTTTAAGATAGCCGCACAAAAGAATTCAACAACACGTACCACTTGTTTCATTTTTCACCCACTGATTAATGGAACTGCAAGCTGCATTTTGGTCTTCAAAATCCACAGTCTTGACACTGCACTGAAACACCTCTTTATTTCTTGTAACAAAAGGCACTTCCATTTTAAAGCCACTCTTTGCAAACACTGCATTAGCAATCGTCACAATGTCTTTATTCTTTTTTGAGACTATGGCCTTGTTTATCTTCTTTAATACTTTGCCAACTCCTAGTTAGAAATAACAGCAAGTTTTATTTAGAAAAGGAAAAAAATCAAAAAGTTTTAGAAGGCGTTAACGTGTATCAATAATTACAGACATGCAAATACACACTTTAACATGACTGGGTAAAGAAAGAATACCAATGACATTGACAGATTCTTGAACACCCATCTGGACAACACGATCACTGATTTGTCTGAAGGAAACTATTTCACAGTGAAGAATTTGTCTTTGTACTCCATATCTGAGTCCTGGTATGGTATAACAACAACTTTCTGGCATGGAAAATATGTTTAAAATATTTATTTCTAATTCTGGCATGTCAACATGTAGTCAACTACAAGATTAACCAATAAGCCTTGTCAACTACAGCATCATCCCGCCCTCCCCCACTGCCTCTAACAGAGTTGCTGCAGTGGGGGAGGGAGGCAAGGGAAGCTGCCACAAAGCAGCTTCTATTCACAGTGGGCTCAAGCTGAAAGCCAAAATAGTTGTTTTTACATAGAGCCGAAACAGTTGTTAGGTCCTTTTTTGTGTGTCTTCTTTAAAAGCATTAATGACTGGAGAACAGAGCTGTGCTGCTCTAAGTGTGGTTTGATGTGCAGCTAAACAATCCATTGATGATCGTAATACCTTCCTTGGAAGGCCACTCTTTCATATGACACAGACGTCTATGGAGATTATTACAACCTATTAATAATTGATATCCTTGGATAAATACTCTACCGCCAATGAGATGCTGCAAAACTAAAGTAGTCATTTTTATCTTTTCCTTCCATTCAGTAAGGAACAGGGTGGGATAAAAGTTTTCTGGGAACTGTATGCTAACAAGGAGAGAGGAACACCTCTGAAAAGTTTCTAGAAGAAACTAAAATTAAATCTGAAGACTAGGTTACACTAGTAAGGAAATTCAGTATTAGACTCCAGCATCTCATTGGAGGTAGATTATTTAAACCAGGTTATCAATTATTAATAGATTGTAATAGCAATGTTAAATTTAAATTAACTGGCTAATCGAATAGTCGATGCAATTTGGATCGACTATTTATCAAGAAAGGCACTTCCGCCTTTTGAAGTTCTGCCTTCCCCCAGGGCTGCAGCTACACTTCAAAGGTGAAAGCGCTGCAGGGAGAATGGGGCCAGTAGTGAACTCAAGCTGTCCCCTGCTGGCCCTATACTCCCTATGGCATTTCAAAGCAGCAGTGCCACATGTAGCCCAGAATCAGCGGGGGACTCAGAATCCCCACCTGACCCTGGGCTCCAAGTGGTGCTGCCGCTATGAAATGCCATGGGGAGCCTGGCATCGGGCTCCACATGGGGTTTCAAAGTGGCAGCGGTGCATGGAGCCTGGGTCTGCGGGGGAGTCCCTAGCTGACCCCGGGCTCCATGTGGCACTGCCACTTTGAAATGCCATATCCAGCCCAGGGCCAGCTGGGAGTCTATCATGTCAACGATCTGATAAGCAATAGCAGATTAGTCAGCTAGTCATTCACATCCCTAGGTTGTAATACCCTCCATAGAAAAGAGTGCATCTTCCAAGGAAGATGTAATGATCATCAATGGATTGATAATTTCGGCTCCATGTAGAAGAAACCCTGAATAATTTACTCTTTTGGTTAGATTACTGTGAACCTTTCAGTAAGATAGATCAAATTAAGTCCATATGATCACTGTCTTCAACATTATGGCTATATTCTTTTGGTCATCATACCTTAACAGAGGATCTCAAATTGTAGTCTATGGACTACTGATTATCCACTGAGCTATTTGCTCACAGTCTAGGGGGAAAGCTGGCTGCTCACGTGGTACTAATGCTCCTTTGCTTCAAGCTACTAAATGGCATTAAAAGATAGCTAAAATGCTTTAATACTTTTCTCAAGTTATCCTTCAAGTAAGCAACTCTTGTGCCACAGGATTATTAGACAGTTAAAAACCAAGAGAAGGAGATCTATGCAAACATAAAAATGGTGACAGCCCATGAAAATCTTTTTATTAAGATAAGGATCACACTACAAAAAACAGGACTATGTAGCACTTTAAAGACTAACAAGATGGTTTATTAGGTGATGAGCTTTCGTGGGCCAGAACCACTTGTGGCAGTAGTCTACAACCTTTTTACATTCCAAATTACTTTTTAAATGTCATAGCAAGTCAGGATCTACCCCATCTCTTACCCAAGACCTCACCCCTTTCTTGAGGCCCCACCTTCTCCAAACACTATCCGTTGCTAATGGAAACTCAATGTTAATTACATAATTACACCCAACCCATTTTGCTAGGGTTGCAGTGGGGAGAACATTTTAATTTAAGTTATTAAACAGATTAAGTGTTTTAATTTTCTCATGTTAGTTTATCAAACTTAATGTTTTACTTTCTTTAAAATTATGTCCAGCACAAAAGGTTTCAATGTTTTCTTTATTTAGGACAGGTGTGAGGAACCTTTTTTGGGTCGGGGGTCACTGACCCACAGAAAAATCAGTTGGGGTCCTCACAAGTGAGAAGCAAAAAAACTCTTCCCAAAACTCCCAACCCTCAGTGATGTGGCCCCTGAGACACTTCACTCTTCTGGCACTCCAGCCCCAATGAGGTAAGGGGAAGGGACAGGGAGGACTGAGGTTCAGGGCTTCCCATAGGCCAGATTTACTTTTCTGGGGTTCCAGAGTTAGTGGATTTTGTGCACCTCCTTAGGCTCTAGGGTAGGAACAAAAATGAGGGACTCAGTGTGCGGTACAGGACTGCCATCAAGTGGGAAAGGGATGCAGGATCTATGTGGGACAAGGGGTGCAAGATGGGGTGAAGAGGACAGGGTCTGGAAGGGAGTTTGGCAGCAGTAGAGGATGTGAGGCAGGGGTACAAGAGGGAGTTTGGGATCAGAAGGGGGTTGGGGGAGCAACGCAGAAAAGGTAAGAGTGAGAATGATGCCAAATAGCTAGGTGGGGAGGGAGGCAAAGATGTGGGGAGTAAAGGAAAGTGTAGCTTCTGCAAATTGTATCCCCCCCACATCTTACTTCTGCTCCAGCCTCACTCTCCTCAGCCCTATGACCTCCCCAGCCTGATCCCTACATTGCCTCATGCCTCTCAGAGCAACCACTGCCCCCCCTCCTATCCTGCCTCTGCATTCTCCTTTGCCCCCCCACATCACTGTGTCTTCAGCACACTCACAGGCAGGGCAGCAGCACTGAGACTTGCAGCCTCCTGGGAGTAGTGCTGGGTTGAGGGAGGGAGGGACAGACCTTCTTCCCTGCCTTTCCCTGCAGGCTGCGCCCGGGGTAGTGGGGCACTGGGGAAGGGGCTCCCCGACCCCACATATTCACAGGGAACATCACTGCGTAGCCTGGTCCCCAGCGCACCACATGTGCCAGCTACCCAACTCCGCCCCCTCCCAGAGCAGGAGTTAAGAGCTGGGGACGCACGTGTGTGCACGCATGTGCATCACTTCTTCCCCGCTCCCCCAGACAGCAAGTTAACAAAGAGGGGCAGTTGCCCCTCTTTGATCCCGCCCAACTGGAGCATGGCACAGCCTCAGTGGACTGAATGCCATGGCAAGCTAGTCCTTCTTTGCGCCAGTCCAGCTGCCCATGGGTTGTACCACACTCCAGCTGGGTTGGACCAAAGCAAAGCAGCCGCCTGATCAGCTGGCCATATGGCTGCTGGCCGGGGGGCCTGGCCCTCTTTGCTCCAGCCCAGCTGGCCGCAGTATTCAGCCAAGATTGCACTGTGCTCCAGTTGAGCTGGGTAAAAGAGGCGCTACTTCCCAGCCAGTTGGTTGCAGCATACAGCTCACCAAGGCTACATCACGCTCCAGCTGGACTGGATCAAAGAGGGGCCTGGCTAGCTGGCTGCAGCGATTGACTCCTGGGGCACCGTGATCAACCAGTTGGTGACCACTGGACTAACTAGTTCAAGCCAAATAAATTCAGTTTCAATGTTTCAAAATTCTTGCAGAAAAACTTAAAATACTTTTAAATTCAAGATAACTCATAAAAGGGTTTGAATCTTTACCCTTTGGATATTTATGAAGGAACAATAAATCATTTAGCTGTACTAAAGGATTTGAATCTTTACCCTTTGGATATTTACGAAGGAACAATAAATCATTTAGCTGTACTCTAAACAGAAAATTGCTCAGCAAAGTAATTAGTGATGTCATGGTGTGTTACAAGAAACACCAACACTGCTTATTCTTTACAGGGTGAAACGTACCCACCTTTTGGAAAATTTCTTATTTCATAAACACAGCTCCTTCAGCCTGTCAGTTTTCTAGGTTGTTAAGCCTCACTAGCATACTAAGTGAAGTAGCAAATACCCTCACCCTACTCTCTAGAGGCACTGGTAGAGAAACAATAGGGATTCATACCAATGTCAGGAACAGAAACTGAAAGAAAGAGGTATTTGACTAGAAAGAAGACTGTGGAAAAGCTAGAGAAGCTGGGTTCTTTACAGAAGAAGCAAAAGCAAAGCCAAAAAAGCTTCAAAAAAAGATCCAGAAGAGAGTTATTTACCTAAATCGGCTCAAAGGTTTTATGAAAATTAAATATACAAATATTTTACTGTTCAATGATTTCTTGAAATCTTGAATTAAAAATTGTTTTAGTACAGCAGAGATAGAGACAATGCAATCCACCCATATTATGCTGGCATTGGACCTTAACTCTGTGCTGCAGAGACTATTTGTGAGGATAAGAGAACAGAGTAACCTCATTTGTTTCTTAGCCCCTCTGCCAAAACTGCCAACAAGGACTGTTTTTTGGGACAATGCAAAAACATGTGATCTAGCGGCACTAAGACACCCAATCTCCAGATGAAATAAGTTTAGGCAAGCCCCCACTATAACCTACACAGGGAACAGTATGAACAAAAATAATTTACCACTAATCTACTATTAAGGGTGAAAAGTTGAATGATTTAAAACATTTCCTCATTGACTAGGAGTCAATACACACACATTCCAGTCATGATACAGGCAATTTAAATTGGGAAAGATCTTTGGAGTCAGGATCTTTGCGGCTATATTCTGGTGAACCTAGAGAGTTCTCTACACATCCCTAGTTCTGGAGTCTCTAGTGCAGACTGTACTGTCATTGCAGTGCTTGGAACAGCAGAAACAGCAGATTCTCTATCTGCGATCAACTGAGAAACACAAATTATCCCTGTTATCCATCCAACACTGTCCACATTAAGGCTACGTCTACACTGGCACCCTTTTCCGGAAATGCTTAAAACGGAACAGTTTTTCCGTTATAAGTATTTCCGGAAAAGCGCGTCTACATTGGCAGGATGCTTTTTCGGAAAAGCACTTTTTCTGGAAAAGCGTCCATGGCCAATGTAGACGCGCTTTTCTGCAAAAAAAAGCCCCGATCATCATTTTCGCGATCGGGGCTTTTTTGCGGAAAAGACTACTGTGCTGTCTACACTGGCCCTTTTCTGGAACAGTTTTTCCGGAAAAGGACTTTTGCCCGAACGGGAGCAGCATAGTTTTTCCGGAAAAACACTGACAATTTTACAGTAGATTTTCATTGCTTTTCCGGAAAAGCAAGCGGCCAGTGTAGACAGCTCGCAGCTTATTCCGGAAAAGCAGCCGCTTTTCCGGAATAAGCGGCCCAGTATATACACAGCCTAATAGTTTATAGTTCATCCCAAATCATGGCACTAATGTGTCAGAAGGGGTGGTATTTGAATATTCTAGCTAAACTGACCCATGTTTATCTGGTAGCCTCTATTTATAGGGGGTATTTTATGATATATGGCTTTTTCTTAATAACCCTTTGTTTACTACAAGTGGCTTGTTATGCAATGCAGCACAATTTGAAAAACCTTCCATTAGAATGTCCTTCTAGCCTTAAAAATTTATGAATCACTTTATAAAAACCCTACATAGTAACAGATAAAAACTGACCATTTACGCTGTATCTCATCACAGTTGTCAGCTGCTTCTTTGTCTTGCCATCAGCACCCAGCTGAAGTATTCCCAGTACAGATGCAATCCCATGTGGAGAAACCACAATATTCTCCTGAGGTCTAGCTTTGACTATCTGATTGAAAACTTGGATTCCAAGGTCAGAGCCAAGTTCCTCAAGAGATAAAGGATTGAACTGGGACCACACAGATGTTACAGTCACAGCGGTGAAAAGGAGAGGAAAGTGCCAGTTCATGATTTTTAAACAGAAATAACCTAAAGGAAATAAAAAATAATATTAAAGACCATTATGAGCACAAAGTCTCTGCTACACTTCGTGTTACACATTAACATTAGCTAAAAGCAGTGTAGCTGTTAGAAAGATACAACTGCATTATCTTAAGACAAAGCATATACTGTATATTGAATGTACTGTGAAAACTTCACATAGCTCGGTCAATAAGCCTAAAACCTGAACTTACCCCAAACTTTCCCATTCCAAGTCCAGGGACCTCCAAAGCATAGAGAATGACAACTATGCTGAAACAACAACCAGAAGTCCTGTGGCACCTTATACACTAACAGATTTATTGGAGCATAAGCTTTCGTGGGCAAAGACCCACTTCGTTAGATGCAAGTAGTGGAACTTCCAGAGGCAGGTATAAATAGACAGGCATAAGAAAAGAGTTCCAATCAAGAAAAAGGCTAGAGATAACGAGGTCAATTCAGTCAGGGAGGATGAGGCCCACTTCTAGTAGCTGATGTGGAGGTGTGAACACCAAGAGAGGAGAAACTGCTTTTGTAGTTAGCTAGCCATTCAGTCTTTGTTTAATCCTAAACTGATAGAATCAAATTTGTAGATGAATTGTAGCTTTGCAGTTTCTCTTTGAAGTCTGTTCTTGAAATTTTTTTGTTGTTGCAGGATGGCTACCTTTAGATCTCCTACTGTGTGTCCAGGGAAATTGAAGTGTTCTCCTACAGGTTTTTGTGTATTGCCATTCCTGATATCTGATTTGTGTCCGTTTATTCTTTTACGTAGAGATTGTCCAGTTTGGCAGATGTATATGGCAGAGGAGCATTGTCAGGATATGATTGCATATATTACAATGGTAGATGTGCAGGTGAATGAGCCCGTAATGGTGTGGCTGATGTGGTTAGGTCCTGTGAAGATGTCGCTGGCGTAGATATGCGGGCAGAGTTGGCACCGAGGTTTATTGCAGGGATTGGTTCCAGAGTTAGAGTTTCTGTGGTATGGTGTATAGTTGCTGGTGACAATTTGCTTCAGGTTGGTGGGTTGTCTGTAGGCGAGGACTGGCCTACCTCCCAAGGTCTGTGAGAGCAGGGGATCATTGTTCAAGATGGGTTGTAGATCGCTGATGATGTGTTGGAGAGATTTTAGCTGGGGATTGTAGGCGATGGCCAGTGGTGTTATTTTCTTTGTTGGGCCTGTCTTGTAACAGGAGGCTTCTGGGTATACGTCTGTCTCTGTTGATCTGTTTCCTCACTTCCTCAGGTGGGTATTGTAGTTTCAAGAATGCTTGGTGTAGATCTTGTAGTGTTTGTCTCCATCTGAAGGGTTGGAGTAAATGCAGTAGTACCTTAGTGCTTGGCTGTAAACGATGGATCGTGTGGTGTGCCTGGGGCATGTAGGTATGGATAGCAGTCCATAGGTTCTTGGTAGAGGGTGGTGTTTAGGTTACCATCACTTATTTGCACTGTAGCATCCAGGAAGTGGATCTCTTGCGAAGACTGGTCCAGGCTGAGGTTGATGGAGTGGAAATTGTTGAAATCATGGTGACATTCTTCTAGAGCCTCCTTCCTGTGGGTCCAGATGATGATGTCATCAATGTAGTATAAGTAGAGGAGGGGAATTAGCGGACAACAGCTGAGGAAGCATTCCAGGTCAGCCATAAAAATGTTGGCATATTGTGGGGCCATGCGAGTGCCCACAGTGGTGCCACTGGTTTGGAGGTATAAATTGTCCCCAAATCTGAAATAGTTGTGTGTGAGAATAAAGTCACAGGGCTCAGCCACCAGTTGTACAGTGGCATCATCAGGGATACTGTTCCTGACAGCTTGTATTCCATCTACAGGTGGGATGTTGGTGTAGAGAGCCTCTACATCCATGGTGGCTAGGATGATGTTTTCTGGGAGATCACCAATGCTTTGTAGTATTCTCAGGAAGTCCATGGTGTCTCGGAGATTGCTGGGGATGCTGGTGGCATAGGGTCTGAATGGAGAGTCCACAAATCCAGAAAGTCCTGCAATGAGAGTGCCAATGCCCGACATGATGGGGCATCTCAACTATGCGGAGTTGCACGGTTGTTTTCTGATGTAGACAAAACTCCATTTAGGGTAGGTCTACACAGAAGAGCAAAAGTCTAATTAAGCTATGCAACTTCAGCTATATCAATTGTGTAGCTGAAGTCGAAACAGCTTAATCTGGCTTTTGACACTGTCTACACAGCAGGAAGCTGAAGAAAGAACACTCTTCATTTGACTTCGTTTACTCCTCAAAATGAGGGTTGCAAGAGTGAGAGTAAGAAGTCCATCTCTACCTTATTTTAAAATAACGGCTTGCTGTGTAGACATGCATTTTGTTATTCCGAAATAACACTGCTGTGTAGATGTACCCTAAGACTTGTTGGAGTAGGCAAAAGCTTCAGAGGCAATTAAATAAACTAGATAAAGATACTGCTGCAATCTGCATGGTTTGGGACCATGCACATACATGCCAATATGCAATTATTCTTAAGTTCAATCATAGTACTAATTATACAATAGGCAATTTTATTTAACAATTGTGTGTCAAACAAAGCTTTACTTAAGGGACTCGGTCCAGGAAGAGTTTTAAATAGTGGAAAAATTCCCTAACTCCTTCACTCTAGCTCCTCCTAGCATGGGCAGCAGGTTTGTATAATTTTTGGTGGTGCCCCATTAGCTACACCCTCTGGCCCAGTTAGCCACTTCCTCTAATCCTCATTAGCCATGCCCCCTGACCCCTCGCCCCCCCATTAGCCACGCCTCTGGAGGTAACACACTCGGGGCAAGATGGACACATGACCAGAAGTAAAAGGTGTCATGTCACCCCTCTCAAAGGGCTTTTCCCACCATCTTCCTATCAACAGGGATTAGTTTGTCCCCCACCAAACTCCCCTCATTCAACTATCCTGCAATTGCATCAACCCAATGTGTGTGACATTAACTCGGGGGCAGAGAGGCTGGGGGAAGTGTTCCCTCTAAGGCTATGTCTACACTCGCGGCTTCTTGTGCAAGTACAGCCGTTCTTGTGCAAGAACCCACAGATCATCCACACTGCCCGCCTGCTCTTGTGCAAGGAAATTTACAGAACGGCATGGTAAGAGAGGATGCCTTGCACAAGAGCTACGCTCTTTTCTAACAGGTGTAAGCTCTCTTGCGCAAGAGGGCAGTGTGGATGCTCGGCAGGGATTTCTTGTGCAAGAAACCCCTATGGCTAAAATGGCCGTCGGAGCTTTCTTGGGCAAGAGCGTCCACACTGCCATGGATGCTCTTGTGCAAAAGTACAGCTTACTTATAGCAGTGTGGACATGTTTTTGCACACGACTTCTTGCACAAGAACCCATGCACAAGATGTTCTTGCGCAAAAAACCGCCAGCGTAGACATAGCCTAAGAGTTTCCTCCCATGAGCAAAATGAATTTTGTGTTGTGCACAAGTACTGAGTTCATGTGGCTTGTTTGGATGTGCCACTGTGGCACCCAAGTTATTATTAAATATTTTAAAACCTTTACCTTTTCTCTCTGCTACCATGTCTCTTCCCCTTGTTCCATCAGCTCCCCTGGTGCCTGCTGCCCCCCGCCCAACTCCTCACCCTCCTCTGTTGCCCTGACTCCTGACCTTCTCACTGCCCTCAGCCCTCCTGCAACCTGCCTCCCTCCACCAACCCTTCTCTCCTCCTCCTTGTGCCCACTCCTCCAGTAGCCCCACTCTAATCATGTGAGCTACCCCTCCTTATCCCCTCTTCTAACACCTCCCTCTACAAACCTGCCCTGCCTCTCTCCTCTGGTGCTGGCCCCTCCCCTGCAGGTGTCTGGCCTCCTGCTTCACCTCCAGAATCCCCTGGCACCTGCACCTTCCCTTTCCCCTGAACCCTCCTGGTGCCTCTCTCTTACCTTACTGCCCCTGCCCCCTTTGCCCTCTTTTTACTTGATACCCACCACCTCACCACCCTCTGCCCCCATTTTCCTGTGCCCTCACACATGACTTGCTCCACCCCGGCCTTCCTCGTACCCACCCCTTCTTTCAAGTCTTCTCCCAGCACCTACCCCTGCAGCCCCCAATGCCCTTACCCTCTCCCCTCGCAGCATCACCCTGTCCCCCTCCCACTGACACCTCCCCTCCTGCCTTTTTCCTCATTGTCTGCACTTGGCCCCCTGGCATTTGTCTCTCCTCTGTCCCTTTGGTGCCTTCCCCTTTCTTCCCCCTCCCCCTCCATACAAGCCCCTTCCTCTCCCAGTCCTTCCCTAGTTTTCTCTTCCCCTCCCCCTCTCCTACCTTCCACTTTGCGGGGCCAGAGTCTGCATTCCATCCCCGAACTCCGGACATGCAACTCAGCCGCGTGGCGCCATGCGGCGCCGAGCAGTTTTAAAGTCCCGGGCTGTGACATCACGTCACGCCCAGGCATCTCCCCGCCCACCTGTTTGAGTACGCCGTGCATGGCAGCAGCAGCCAGCAAGGGGGAGCTGAGTGAAAGCTGCACACGGCAGGGACGCGACAGGGATGGGGACTGGGATGGGAGAGAGAGAGACTCTGGGGCCGGGGTGGGAGGACGTGCAGTGGGGCCAGGGCCTGCTCCAAGCAGGGCCAGAGAGACCCAGCTCCAAATATTAGTGGAACAGGGCCCCCGGCTCTGAATATTGCTGGAGCATGGGCACCATGAGCCCATATAACTCGCTGCCCATGCCGCCTAGTTCCATACACTGTTCCAACACTCTCTCAGAGAAGCAAGTCATTAGACTGGATATAACAAAATCCCTGTCTTCCGCACTCATCCAATCAGGGAACAGAAGCAATATCATGCAACTAATATGACTAGTCTCAGTAAATACAAGTACAGCTAATAATCACTCCATATGCTGAAATATAGTCATATATACTCTTCAGACAACTTAGAAATGCACAAATATGGGGAAAAAAGTTAGCATTTGCTTGGAACAGAAAAATGGATTAGCTCAGACAAATAGTTATAAATAGCTCACCTAGATCTAAGATGATGCCAATATTTTTCTTCCATCAAGTGTTTAAGCATAAATACAGCAATTTGCCG